TTTTTATACCCTGAACCCATTTTCAATGGGAAATCAGGGTATAATGGTTTTGTTGAAATGTATGTAACAGGCAGAAGGAGGCGTGGCAGACCCCTCAAAGTATATATATATTCTTGATCAGGGCGACGAGCTGAGTCGATTTGGCCCTGTCCGTCTGTCTGTCCGTCCGTCTGTCCGCCCGTCTGTCCGTATGCTTGAACGCGTAGATTTCAGAAGATGTAAGAGTTAGAGACTTAAATTTTTTTTAAATGTCCTTGTTTACAGCGCGGATATCGAGTTTATCACTAAAAATCGATAATTCATCCCGATCTTTTTATCGAAAAAAAACTTTATCGAAAACCAGTTATAAAATTATATCTCCTATAACTTTATTGCTAGAGGTTCCAAATTTTTTATGTATATGCAATTTATACAATTTCGGTTTTTGTTCAAATTTACCCTTATATCCACCCCCTCACCACCATGTTTGTAAAAAGCGTATTTCAAATACTAGAGACTTGTGCTTTGGTAAATACATGCATATCCATGTTATAATCATAATCTGAAAGTTTCATGAAGATCGTAAAAAAATATTAAACAATTATGTTCTCATAGTAAGCGCACAATGCAGCCCATGCGTGTTTATGCGTGGGTGTTGTGTATGTGTATGTGTGTGTATGTGTGTGTGTGTGTATGTGCTTGTGTATGTGTTTGTGTATGTGTGTGTATGTGTGCGTGTGTGTGTGTGTATGCGTTTGTGTGTGCTGAAAGACGCGAAAAATTATTGAAATAGCTACTGCTCCAAGTGTTCCGGGGATCTCGTAGTCGAGCAGTCTCGACTTGTTTATTTATAATACTGCTTTACATTTGTTTCAGAATTTTTGCCTGCTGAAGGAAAAAAGATGAAAAATCAGAAAAATACAAAGTAAACTTGACCAATATTAGTTAAATAATAACACAATAATAATAAGAGTACATACATAATAAATTTATTGAAAATAAGCATGGAATGGAATATGGGACTATAGAACAGAAGAAACAGCTGTCTATGTCATATAATAATAATATATTACATGCTTATTATTATTATAAATAAGCTATTTATCATATCAACATTTCGCCCTATCAACCAACCATATGTATATATTCCTCGCCCGATTTACATACATACATACATATATATGTACATATGTATGTCTAACTGTCTCTCTATCCATCTCACTGTCTAACTAAGAGTCTGTCTCTCCGTCTGTCTCTCCGTCTGACTCTCTGTCTGCCTGCCTAGCAAAGGCCAGGAACGAAGAAGAATTACAAAAGATCTCTAAGACTGTCTATATGTATGCAACAGTATTCATTTGGTATTTATGTATATTTAAGTGGAACGAAGTCAGAATGCTCACAGCAGCAGAGAGTGTTCCTTCCCATTGGTCCATTGAAGCTCGACTGCAACGAGCTCTACCTGGCACTGGGCTCAACATCTGAGAGCGACCTAGTGTCTGAGTGAAAGTGGCTCTATATAAAGAGCAGCAGCTGCAGCATTTCTTCAGTCGTCGACGCCTGGTGGGACAGAGCAGTCTTGGAGGAATTACTTGGAGGAAATATTTAGAGGAAATACTTACTTATAGAAAATACTTGGGCAATACTGGGAAGACACAAAACTTTTAGCAGAAATACAGGGCCCCGAAGAAATATTTTGAGAACATACTTGCAGAACACATAGAAGAAATACATAGAGGAATAACTAGCATAGCCAACTTTTATTAAATTATTCCGGATCTCAGCAGCTGGCAAGACCCTCTGCCTTTTCCCGACTAGCTCTTCAACGAGCTCGTTTATGATCGGCTTGAAATCGAATTGGTTCATAGAGCGTGATATATAGTTATATAAAGCCGCACAAACCCTTTGTAAACGAAAAAAAGCGATTTTTAACAATTTTACCACTTAAATAAATTTATGCATTTTCTCAAAATGTGTGTAAATAACATTAAAAAAAAAAAGAATAATAATATGTATATCATAAGTGCCCGATCTGTTTACATTGATTACGATTAAGAATGCGGCCTAATTGATGTTGGTTGATTTACTGCTGCGCTTGCCCTGCCCCTGCTACTTCTCCTGGAATGGATCTTTGTGTATATACTTGTCCAGTTGCGCCGCAGCATTTTCCTCCACTTGGGAGAGCTCCGAGAAGCCCTCCTCATCGACAAAGCATATCTCGTGACCATCGGGATCGGCCAGAATTAGAACCGTGACGGTCGCCTTGCCGGGTGTGTCCAGTGTTATCAATGGCTTCAATATGGTGCCGCCCGCCTTCTGGACCTCATCGAACAATGGCTTCTGGATGGCTGCAGGCACCGCAAAGGCAATGCGACCATATGCCTTGGCCCGATCCAGGGGCTCTTTCAGAGCCGTTAGACGTAGAGCTGTCTGTTTCGCGTCATATGCGAGCAGAATGGAGTCCTCGCTGGCACTCAACACGTTCATCTTGAGCAGCTCAGTCCAGTACTTGCGTGACGCATCCAATTTGGTTACATGGAGCTCAACCTGTTGCATCGGATCACTGCCGGGCGCTGTGTCCACAATGTAGAACTTATAGCCATCTGGCGAGGTTAAAACACTTTTATCGCCCTGCTTGGCAATGGGATATGAGTGCTCGGCGGCACGCTTTAAGATATCCTTGGAGTTGATGGTGATGCCGCCAAAGTCGTTGCCTAAATGATGTGGGAAGATGTGAAAAATGTGAAGAATGTGAAGAGGCAACTAGAGTGGAGCCAAAGTTACCCAGGTCATAGCTCTTCACGCCATAATTGTACGTTAGCTCAATGACAAAATGCGACTTCTCTGGCCCATAGCCGACCATGGTCTTGCTCCAGCGATTATCATAGGGTCTGCGCATGAAAATCAGAGATTAGAGAATTTCTAGAGTCTTGAGAATGCACATCCGGCTTATGGCATACCCGTTGCATTCGGCATCGCAGCCTTCTTTGAATTCCTCGTGCCTCAAAACCTATTGTGAAAGAGAGAAGCTTCAAATCAGTTTCTTCTTATCTAATATCTATTATTAGCACATAATAAACAATTCTTGACGAAATTGCCAAGTCACATTACTCAGATAAAATATACAGCCATTCACAATTCTAATTGCCACCCATACATGCATGCAAACTGATACACATTTACAAGCCGTGTGTATAGCCATGTTTATAACCGGGTTTTGCAACTTGGCAATTAAGGTGAGCTCCATCTCACCTGCATTCCCAGAATCGTGCGGAAGAAGAAGGAATTCTTGCTGCGATCACCAATTTTGAATACATAGTGCAGAGCTCGTCCTGGTACGGCCGTCATATTGCCGCTACAAACAATTTTGAGATATTTTCAGCAGCGTATAAGCACAAATAGAGGCAAGTGAAACTGAGACACTTGTTACTTGGGGAAGTAATAAATTGTGTTGTCTGTAAAGTGTGGAGCAAGCTCTGTTATGTTGACACCCATACTGTTAATCATAGAGCAATCGATAGATTTTAGAGCTTGGCGGGCAACCATTTTCAATTTATCGTTGTAGTTGATTTTTCTACAATTTATTCACTGCCTAAGACACTAAACAAATAATCAAATTCTACTACCTACAAAATGGCATTCTAGGCAATGCTTTTCAAATTTCTTCAAAGAAACAAAAACTTGACATTTAGAAAAAGCAGAACTGCCAACCTGCATGAATAACTGTGCGCTGCTTTGAGTTTGTTGTGTTCAGCTATCGATAACACTAATAAATATTTCTGTCAAACCACATCGCTAAACAACGGGACTGCTCTTGTTGTGTAACTGAAACGCGTAGATTTAATAAGTATAATGATATTTTATAGCTAATATACGAATAATTTAACATATAAACTCTACTTGCAGGCGCCCACAATGTCAGCATCCGCCGCCCGAGGTTCAACATCGCTGCTGAAACGCGCCTGGAACGAGATTCCCGACATCGTCGGCGGCTCGGCCATGGCCATTGCAGGCCTCATCATGGCAGGCATTGGCCTGACCAACTACTACGCTAAGGATGGTGACAATCGTCGCTACAAAATGGGATATGTGGTGTTCCGGCACGATGATCCACGCGCCCAGAAAGTGCGCGACGATGACGACGAATAATCATATAATTGTGTACCCTTTGTTTTCATTCTTTCGCGCTGCCGCAATACAAAAAAAAAATAGCTATGTAAAACAAATGTATACAAATAGTTTCGGTATATATATATTAATATAGATATATAAGTCTGTTAAAAGAGAGACGTGACCGGAGTCTATTGTCTTGGCGTAAAGAACATGAACTGAGAGTTCCGATGATTGACTTTATGATGCTTTTGGTAGGCCGCCAGTGTGTGATAACATTCATTACACAAAGCGCACTGATAATTTGTTGCCGATCTGATTGATATGCTGGTCCTTGGCGTCATATCCTGGACCAACTCAGCCTCTTCGATTAGGTCTCCAATCTCGGTACCTAATAAGTAAATTTTGTTATAAATGCATTAATATGTTCTAAGTGAAAAACTTAAGAACTTACCCTCACTTGGCTCATGCTTGAACACAATTGTTTCTGCCTTAATGCCAGTAGCATGGGCTGGCGCTATAGATTCCAGATTTGTCTCGATCGCTTTTCCAATGCATTTGAGTGGTAACTGATCGTCAGGAGATGATATTGACTGCGTGAGGCGGGATCGATTGCGACGTTGCTCGAATTTTAAGGCCACAGTGAATTCATTAGTTGCCGTTATCCACTTATTATTGAATTCATAAATCATAATCAGTTTCTTGATGCAGACCCGGCATATCTGCTTGGGATAGTCATCGTCCTCGCTCAACGCTGGTAATGATGCCGAGCTGGGCAAGCACGACGACAATATCTCCGAGATCAGAATATTTTTATCCAGCACCATAACGCTATCGTCGAATATGTCCAGTGCATCCAAACAGTCGTTGCCGCAAGTGCGGCAAATATTTTCGAAAATATCCATTTCGAATGTTAATGTTACCAATTTACAATGTATATTAAATTTGAATGAATGGCATTGTATTTCTTCGTTGTTGACAATTTGTGCTTATTTATACGAGATGTGTACTTTAAAAACTCGCGATCTGGCAAATGCAACGGCGGCTTTTAATAACACAACTATTTTAGAGACGCCAGCAGCATAAAATGATAAACAATGTTTAGTAAATATCGATGAATTGCAATTCATCGTGATAGATTGCTTAAGCGATGGTTTCTTATGCACACAGCTCGGTATATCTTGCTCATCTCTAGTTTTGGTGCAAGCAAAACAACAATGCAGCGAAAACTAATTTTATTCAGCGTTGTCATCCCGTTTCTAGTTATTAGTCCGGTCAGCCATGCCATTCAGGCGCGCAGTGACAAAGAACAGACCCAAACTGTTGTTTCCGGCACAGCTGTACAATCGGTTGTACCCGTCCAGGCCCAATCACAGGTTGGTTCCAATTCGCAAGCAGCTTCCACGTCCAACTCAGCGTTTAATCCGTTGGGGCCGACTGTGATGTGCTCGTTTCTGCCACGAGATTTTCTGGAATGCAAGGAGCCTATTGATCATCGGAATAACGATTCGGCACGCAATGAGAAGGGCTACGGCTGTCTGCGTTTTGGTGGCTCCAACTATGAGGATGTTGAGCACACCAAAGTCCAATGCACCGTCTACACGGACATCGACTGTTACGGCGCACGCACATTTTTCCGGGATGGTGTGCCATGTGTTCGCTACACGGATCACTATTTCGTAACCACATTGATATACAGCATGCTGCTGGGCTTCCTGGGCATGGATCGCTTCTGTTTGGGACAAACGGGAACTGCTGTGGGCAAACTCTTGACAATGGGCGGCGTTGGAGTCTGGTGGATTATAGACGTGATATTGCTAATAACTAATAATCTGTTGCCAGAAGATGGCAGCAACTGGAATCCATATGTATAAGCTAAATAATATGTTCTTGTGATAATAGTTCAATCATTGTAAATAAAATAAATGTTAAGATTTACGATTTGTTTGTTTTCTTGATTGTTAGTTTAGTTTTACTTTTCACATGCATATCTAATTGGCCCCTTATCCATGTATCCATAACTTGTTGATGTGTACAATGATAAAATGAAATAATCTTAAATTACATTATTTTATTAATGCAATCAATTATTTTTAAATTTGCCAAAATCTTTCAATTGTAAAATATCAATATGACCAACTCTTCGCAGATATCGTTGCTCACAAATATCGATAAGAGACTCACGTTATTTTTGTCATCACTGCAATGGCCGCTTATCAGCTACTTTGAAAAGAAAAGAAACAACGCATATAAATTGAGTGTAACTAAACTATACAACAGTTTGCCATTGCAACTGGTGCTTGCCAGTCAACCAAATAAAATTCGAAAAGCCTACTCTTTTATCTATATTGACAAATTGTATACATATATAAATTATTATATATACACATACACGATTAGCTGAGCTCTGACAATTTTTTTTCAATTGCGCTGTCAACGCCATTTTGACGAATACGCAGCTGTAAAATGAAATATTTTGCAGCAACTTTGGCGCTGCTGGCTCTGGTGGCCGTAGTCGCTGCCGGAGAGGATGATCCCCATATGCTAAGTGATGAATTCATAGAGCTGGTGCGCAGCAAAGCAAAGACATGGACGGTAAGTATTAATATTATTATTATGATTATGATGACGTGACATTTCCATTGTTTATTTCCATTAGCCTGGTCGCAACTTTGATGCATCTGTATCAGAGGGACATATACGCGGCCTAATGGGTGTCCATCCCGATGCGCATAAGTTTACGCTGCCCGAAAAGAGCCAAGTGCTCGGCAATCTGGTGGGAGATGACGGTGACGATCTGCCCGAATCGTTTGATGCGCGTACTGCCTGGCCCAACTGCCCCACCATTGGGGAGATCCGTGATCAGGGCTCATGCGGCTCCTGTTGGGCCTTTGGTGCCGTCGAGGCGATGTCCGATCGTGTAAGTAGCGATGCCCCACTGACCTGAAGCCTCGCGCAACACACACAGACAAAATACAAAGCAGATGACGCAGCTGACTTTGTGCTTATCACTATTTAGATTATCGATTTCACACAATTGCGTTGAATTGCTGTGTTTGTGTACGGTTTTGTAGACACATACACAGACGTGTATGCGTGTGTGTGTGCATGTTCTTTGTTTAGGCTGAACGATTTGTTGACTTATTTTATTTGTAGGTGTGCATACATTCCAATGGCACTGTAAACTTCCATTTCTCAGCTGATGATTTGGTCTCGTGTTGCCACACTTGCGGCTTTGGCTGCAATGGCGGATTCCCTGGCGCCGCCTGGAGTTACTGGACCCACAAGGGCATTGTGAGCGGTGGCTCCTATAACTCCAATGAGGTAAGTCCATTCAACACTGAATTGTAGCTCAGAGTTATTCAATGGTCGTTTGGCCTGTTATAGGGTTGCCGTCCCTATGAGATCGAGCCATGTGAGCATCACGTGAATGGTACACGCCCACCCTGCAAAAATGGCAGAACCCCTTCCTGCAAACATCAATGCGAGTCGAGCTACTCCGTTGATTATGCTAAAGACAAACACTTTGGCTCCAAGTCCTACTCGATCAGTCGCAATCCGCGTGAAATTCAACGCGAAATCATGACCAACGGACCGGTGGAAGGCGCATTCACAGTCTATGAGGATTTGATATTGTACAAGTCGGGCGTCTACAAGCATGTCCATGGCAAAGAACTGGGCGGCCATGCCATACGCATACTCGGCTGGGGCGTTTGGGGCGATAGCAAAGTGCCCTACTGGCTAATTGGCAACTCATGGAACACCGACTGGGGAGACAACGGATTCTTCCGCATTGTGCGTGGCGAGGATCATTGCGGCATCGAGAGCGCCATCTCTGCTGGCCTGCCCAAGCTGTAAGCCACCTTCCCCAGCCCAACTAACTGCATAATATTGCTTAATTAATGCCTTCAAATAATCTTAATACGATATTACAGACGTTTTCAATACCAATATACCGTATGTAAAAAACAAACAATTAATTAGCTGCGACTTTAGAAAATAAATAAATTGTATAAAACTTTACACATCTATGTACACATCTGGGATGTCGCCAAACTAATGCACCCATCATCAGACAGACTATGATTTATAATATATTTGTTCTGCACTGACTGCAGCTGCTGCTCATTCGCACCCATATGGATTTATCAGCAATTCAGCGACACCAGCTTTCAATTAGTCAGCCACGGAACGAGCTCAATTATACGTTTCGCTGAACGCCCCTTATTTGCAGCTCTTGTCTGTTTTGCTTTACGGTTCAAGAACCCCCACGCTTTGTAGTATGTATAGCTATATATGTATATAGAAAATCAGTTGTTTGTTTGTTTTTTTTTTTCACATCAGTTTTTATTGGTTTTTCTCATTTCATAACATCAAATAGAACATTTTGGTTTTTTTTTTATGAACATTTTTTTTTTTTTTT